TTCAACAAATCGAACATTTCGCCGCTCAGTCTTTTTCTTCTAGTACTATAGAAATATCTGCTTCTTACATGTCATGTGTTTGACACTAAAATATCTGCTCTTTAAGTACAAAGCTTGATAACTAATCAAAACTATAAATAACGTTCTCACGATTTATTAATATTTATGCCTCAAAATAATTGTTAAAACAATTTAACGAATGACTTTGCGTGAGCACGTCTTACGTAGTACGCCTGATAGTCATCGGCGCTGGGAAAACAGATATCGTAAAAAATAGATTTTATCGTTAAAAATAGCTAAACTACAAAAAAAGATGGACAAGACGAAATATAACAATTTAATCCACTACGTTATGTAATTTTGATCGTTTAGCACGTAAGTAAACGTGTCCCGATGGTCGCCGCGACTTATTGGCGGGATACCCGCAGGGCTTATATTTGCATTACCCAATAGTTAACGTAAGTATGCAATCTTCGATGTCGCAACAAACAAATATTGAGATAAAATTTATGCAGCAGTATGATATTAAGTATTTACAATAGAGTTGAATAAGACCCCTAGACAAAATCAAACAACTGACGCGAGAATGCCATGCAGGTCCGCAGCAGGATGTGGGTAGCCCAATAATTCAAATCTTATTACGTGAATTCGTATCCGGTTTTTAACTTTTCTATCTCTTGTGCGTGAATACCAAAATTCCAAAAGTAATTTTGAACGTCGCCATTCTTATCCACGCACACTCCTCTTTACGCATACTTGGAGTATTGCTTATTTCCCGTAACTTTAGGCCATTTTCGACTTGCAGAGATTTTAAACCAGGAAACTTGCAGTCAACCCAACTGGCATATTCCTTTATTTATTTAATGCAACGTATCGACCCTATTTTTGTCGTCCATAAGACGACGTTGACTCACTTGGTATCGCTTGATAAGGACCTAAAATAGGTCCGAAACGTTGTATTAAATAACTATAAGGAATATGCCAGTTGGATTGACTGCAAGTTTCCTGCTTTAATTTTTAATCATCGCTGGTGACTATACGTAACTTCTTTCTCCGTACAGAAAATTTGTTTATTATTTCTATCAACTGCGCGTTGTTTAATTCGTCGGCGTTCGTCGAAAACCGTAACTTCATTCAGTCTTTCGAGAAGACCCGCTATCCCTTTCGCTTCGTGGCGTCTTCTCGAGATTAATATCTTTCTGTTAGCGATGAAAGTAGGAAAGTGCGGTGTAATGCATTCGAATTGAGATCAGAACTCTTACTAGGGACAGCGCTCTCGGATATCAAAGATATTAATTTCTAGCATATGTTTCTCCGTGAAAACATATCGCGGATACGCGGATGCGCGAGAAACGTGTCGCGTGTTTGTTTCTTTTAATATGCAAAATCGGTTGACCAAACTTGGGAAAAAAAAGTCGACGTATCGGATTCGCAAAATTTGCTCGCGGGCGTTTTATTCGCGTCGATGCCTCCCTGCGACGGGGTTATCGGTTAATGTTAATTGATAGAAAATTGCGCACGTAACATTGAACATGTGGACGCGATATCAGGCATCCTACGTACACACTTTCTCCCGAGTTCATTTCACATATTCTCAGTCCTCGCGTATTCCCAGGTTCCTTTACAACGTTTCGTCCTACTTTGATCGCCTCCTAGTAATTTGCGTGCGACTCCTTTACTCGGCGTTCCGTCAACTACTTTGTTGCATCTTTAGCGTATACATCCACTGAAGAAAATCAAATCGCCATTTAATCACGACGATCGGGAGAGGAGGCTTTCCCCGCCGAACAGAGCGCGATTTCTTTCTCTCTTTCTCAAGCGGCAGATCGGAACTTTTCACACATCGGACGAGCGCGACTTATCACTATTATCGCGAAGGGAGTTCTCGCACCTTTTCGCGGCTCGCCGCGGGAGCTGCGCTCCAGTTTCGACGTCCTACCGGGGGTTGAGGGCGCAGTTTTGTCTGCTCGCGCGGGATCCCCTCGGCATGCCTCGCGCGTGCACCGTTGTGGAGGAGCGGTTTCGGAGCTCAGCGCGGCCGCGGATGTACAATACGACCGATCGGTCTGAACGTATTTCTCGCACTGACGGGACGGAGTCCGGTTGAGCAACAGACGTATGGACGCGCGGGCGCACGATCCCGCTCCAACACACGCTCCGGAGAGACACGCGTGCACGCAAGAAAGGTGTATCCACGCCGACCTGTCGCTGCATTCACCCGACGTGTTGAAGTCGGAACCGGCTCTAAGTCGTTTTATGTATACACACACACATAGCGGATATAAACGCGCCGCACATTGCAAATTTGCTATAGAGTGTTCACAGAACGGTGATAGAAAGATATAGTGGAACGGCCTTGCCGAAGGAGACCGAGTCTGAGAGCTCGAGGAAACATCTTAAGTATCCCGCGTCTCGGAAAGCGCCCGTCTTCGGGTTCCCGGGGTTTCTTTCACGGGGATTAAACGCAACTATCAAGTGGCGGCGTACCTTCAGGCCTCCAACCCGGATTCTGTATATTATCTTCTAGATCTTCTAAATCTCGAGTCCCCGTGCTTTCTCTTTCGTGTACAAAGTAGGAGGTTCTCGTTGTCGCTAGAATCTTGTGTGTGGATCGGCAAGAAGAGTTTTCTACGGAGTGAGTAACAGTAATGATCGGGTAGAATAATCGCCTCGATAGATTTGCCTTCGTTCGCAATTATCAGCGGTGTAATTGCGGGATACCGTAAATGCCATCGTGGAACGTCTCGAAATTATTTACACGCGTTCAACGCGTCGCGTTGAACGTCGTCGGCACATCTCTTACATGTTATATTTTGATGCCTCAACCAAAGCAGACGTTATTATTCGGTTATTATCGGACATTGGAAATATCCAAGGATGCATGCTAACCCAGATACGTGGATCTCGATCCGCAATTAGATGATTACATAAGCATTTTTTCCCCTCCATATTAATAACCAGTGTCGCAATTACGCCATACTGCACGCATTTCATTTATATAGTTATTCATGATTTATTCATGACTTCTAAGTAAATGGTATATTTAATTATACGCGCAATATGACGCGCAATAACGTCAACGAGAATTGTGATTTGATCTTTGAGCCACGTGTCAGACGTTTTCCGTTCCCAGCAACAATATACGATTATGTAAGAGGTATTTTTGATATGTAGCCCATTGAAATAAGATATATTAAAATTACATTTTTATCTCGAATTTAAATGTTGCCAATTGAACGCAATTTAGATGCAAATTACACGACCTTCGTTTTTCTTAAGTTAAGAGGGAATCGTATTCAAAATTGCGATATTAATTTAAGTGATTTGAATATCAACAACGCTTTAAGGAAGAACTCATTGCGATGCAAACCGTCGCTCGAAAGGTTGCGGAAAAGGACAAACGTTCAGGCGAATTGAAAAGTGAATACGATCTTTGAAAACGACAATGTCACGATTGTGCGTGAAATCGCGTACACTGGCGCCACGTATCGCGGTAAAAAAAAATTCGTCGCCCGCATATATGGAAACACGAATACTTTTTACGCGCAAGAGTAACCAGTTCTCGTACATACGCGCCAGCTGAGGTTTCCGTTTGCAGGTGTATGTAAAACCTGCTTCTCGATCGTACGCGTGTGTACGCGCACTGTTCGCATTACCCGCTTTCGTTCGAATCAATGATATCATATACATATGTAAATACACAGGCACGTTCTAAATCGCAGAGGTGTGCGCGTCACAAACGAAAGTGTAGTCTACAGACCTATGCCCCGCGATCTTCCGCGTGCGTGACCGTTTTACACTTAACAGTTATCTACGGACCTCCCAAATGGAAAGGTAAAAGGATATATTTGAAACGTACCCTGGAATGACGTCAGTTGCTTATCAAGTGTCATTAAAATTGACACACCTCTCGCTCGGTGTAGCCCGCAAAATGTACCATTAGGTACTCGCGTTAGCTTGACAGCAGTGCCTTTAACCACGACGATTACAACACTCTAGAGTCTAAAAAGAGCCAATTTTCGGTGATTTTTTTTCAGGAATATAATAAACCTAAATGAAAATCCGTTTATTCCTATTTATTCTCTATACATCGAAGTATAAAGAGAATTTTTTATGAATTTTTCCTCAACAAAATGGCGGCGCCAGAGCCTTGGATCCTTCGTTACAAGTAACGAGTTACAGTTACAGTTACTTCTTCTGGTAACTCTGACTTTGTTACTTTCTCTCCATCTATAACTGTAACTTACATTTTTTCGATAAGTAGTAACTAATTTAATAGTTACTTTATATATTTATAAGCGCCTTTATCGACGCTTCACAATTCAAATGCAGATTTAATATTTTCATTTTCATCGCAAGAAAGTAACTGCAAAGTGACGATTCGTTACTTCTTGAGTAACTGTAACTAGTTACATTTTCAGCGAAAGAACTAACTAGATACTTTTATAAAGTAACTTTCCCAACCCTGGTAACAAGTGATTCTTAATTGCAAGAATTATGCAGAAAATAAAAAACGAACCTGAATCGTGGACTTTGGAATGTTCGCGAGATTGTCATCTCACGCTGTCAATAAATTTCCTCTCGACAATTCATTACATCATTATTATTATTATACATTCATAGGCCAGCCGCGCGATCTCGCTTATCACTCCGGGCCTTACTTGGCGCGAACATACCTGTAAACGTCTCTCGTTTCAGCGAGGTGGAAATTACGTAAACGTAATGCAACTCTTAGTAATTAAAGTAATTCTACTGTTATAAAATAATAATAGCTATTATCGTAAGAGCATTATTGAGAGTTGTGATTTTAACGCTCGTAACACCTGGTATATTATATTGTTATATTGTTCCTGCTCAACCGACACGACTTCCTGTATAATTGACAAGATAAAATGGACTTAGGTATATTATAAAAACAAGAGTTTACTTCAAGTTTTTTAGGGTTCGGTGTTGTTTTGAGAGAAATAAAGATCATAAAATTGATTGAGAGATTACTCGAATAGTTGCAGCATCACGTAATTGATTTACTTACACAATCATTACATTGTACGATATTCAGGCACGATTGAGTTGTATAAAGTGCAAAAGAGCCTTACGACGTTTCGCATCGTTGAGAAACGATTGTCACGCTTCACATTCATGATAGTGGTGGGCATCGAGCTTTCTTCGTTACTCATCGTCGAAATCTCCGCGCGGCGAAATGTCCGCGAAAGTGAGTTTAATGGACTAAGCTACAGCGAATAATTGTGTCGTGAAAATCTTTAATTTATTTTGTAATATCAGCAAAACACTAAAAGACAATCGACAAGGCCGGTAGACGGAAAATGATAAATATTTTTTTATCAAGTTTAATTTCCTCCTCGCTCAGTATCCTTTAGCTATGTAAAAGTTATGCGAGTCATAATATCCTTCTAATCTAGAATTATAATTTGATTTTACGAAAATAAAACCATTGTTATGAGGCAGTACATTCTTCCTTGATGATATCAACTAATTCTTTCACCAGTTCCTTATCAGTTACGTTGACAAAGTCGTCCTCGTTGGTTCCCATTCTGACTCTATTCGCGCCGTGGATTACGAGTTTTCTTTTCTTCGCTGATGCGTGGAATTCTTTGGCACCGGATTTTATGATTTCACGAATGTTATCCTTCGTGATGCCAGCTCCGGGCATAATCACTAGCTTTCCGGCCTTCGGCAATAATATTTTTATCAACTCTAATCCTTCCTGGGCGGTATTCTTCTGTCCCGATGTCAGAATTCTCTGGAAACCGAGATCGGCGAGGAGTTCCATCGACTTGATCGGATCAGTCGTCAGGTCGAAGGCGCGACTGAACGTCACCGGCAAGGGACGAGCGGCGGTGACAATCTTCTCGCATGCGACAACGTCTATCTCGCAATCGGAGGTTAATGCGCCGAAAACGAATCCGTTCGCGTGATGCTCCTTGAGAATCTTCAAATCGTGCAACATGGCGTTGATCTCCTCTGGACTGTAGACGAAATCGCCGCAGCGAATGCGAATCATGGCGTAAAGCGGAATCGTCGTGAGGTTTCTTATTTGTTGAATTAAGCCCGGGCTAGGCGTCAAACCACCCTCCGATAGTGCTGAGCAAACCTCCAGCCGGCTGGCACCACCTTCTACCGCGTTTCTAGCGGACTCCAAAGAATCAATGCAGATCTCCATCTGCAAAATAAAATAATTAATCAGTCGAACAATGACACACGAATCTCTTCCCAGGTACACCAATGAATCTGCAATTTTATTTTTTTTAATTTAATCACGAGTCTCTCCTTTGCATCGATTATTGATACATCTTTTAACATAATTAATAAATTAAAACAGAATAAATCAAAGCATAAAAAATTGATGACTCTTGCTTTATGAGCAATTAGTTATGCGAAAAAAAAAGAAAAGAAAAACACGGGTTTACTTACAACGAAATTATACTAATTAGTCGATACCTTCTAATTACAACTTTTTTTTATTTTTTACTTATCTTAACGTTAATATAAATAAGTTGAACGTTTGCGCAAGATATCGTTGTAACAGAAATGTATTTTATTACGAGTCTTTTTGTTTCATCGGCAATAATATCAAATGCATAGATATAGGTAAAAATTGCAAGTTAGCTAGCGCTTTGATCTTTAGAAGTATAGATTTCATGTGTGAATCGCGCGAGATGTCCGTCTTGCCAGTTAACCGAGCATCGATAGCGAGTCGCGAGGATTCAACGATCACGCGACGATAACGATCGCTGATTGTTCATAGAGAGCGAACGCGTATCAAGAAATTCCAAGAACTTCCGCGATTGATAAGCCTCAATAATCGACGAAATTTTATACATGATCTGTTCACTTCACATCATATGCCGACAAAACAGTATACGACGAAGTCTACAGAATAGTATCGACTGAAGGGAACAAGAATTATTTTGAGAAAAGTATTTTTGTGTTTTTAAACCAACAGCAAGGTGGATTAAAGCGAGTGCAACATTTACTTACCCCTTGACTAATTACTGTATAGTCTGGCTGATAATATAGCTTCAAATAACTTCAATTAGTCTACAGCTTTATATTCCGGATGTTATATTACTTTCGCTCGACAGTTGCCAGTTTTAATTGGCAGACTTGTCTCTGACTATAAAATTTTGACGTTCGTGTTCACTTCGGTATAGACGAGCGACGAGATTCGAAGGTTTTCCAGACACATGTAAAAGAGCTGCATCAGCTGATGGCACAAAATATGGCTGCACTAAACACAGCCCGATGTCTCTGAGAATCGTAACTTCACGCGCGAGTATCGCCATCTGTAGCATCACTTTCGTGGTAACGATAACAATATCATATGGACGTGCGCGCTTATTCGAGATCAGTGAACTCTATACATACTGGAATGAGTGATCTATTGTTCTGG